CCCCTCAGGGGATGAATTTCGAGAAATCTCTTCTTAAACGATGCCTCCAGTATAAAATGAACATTCTCTCCAAATTGCAACTTTTTAGCGTTAGCGGTTTGGGCTGGGCGTTGATAGGTCAGTCGGGACATTGCCTTTTATATATAAATATTATAGATTAATAATAATATAAAGCCGTATTAACAGATTTTATTACTTTTGAGATAATTTTAATAGGTAGTGGATCTAGTAGAACGATATACACTTCGCCGCAAAAGTAACGCATAATTTTCAAAAATTAAAATTTCGGAAAAACATTTTTTCCTATGTATTGTGAGTAAGTTAAACATATGCAATGATTACGAAAAATAACTTTTAGTTGAAAACTGAAGCAAACAAAAAACAAATTAAATTAAATAATAAAATTTAACACCTGTTTCTCTCTCATCTGTAAAACGACAGTCACCTCCATATTTGGAATGAATAACGGATATTTAGTAATAGCCCTCTGGCAATGATAACTGCTTGACATCCTCGTCGGATGCTTACCATGTCGAATTTCGTTTTGATCAAAATTGTCCCATATTTCTACCAACCTGTTTCCTAGTTCTTTTAGTGTATTTGGTCGTGGGTTTGAAGCTCTTAACTGTCTTCCTCAGATGTTCCACACATGTTCGATGGGATTTAACTCGGGATTCTTTGCAGACCCTACCATAGTCGTAATATTGGTCTCTTCAAGGTAGTCACGTGCAGTCCCAGCAATACGCGTGTGCGCAAAGGTACAACATGTAAAAAAATATAGTTTCAATATCGTTGTCCAGATGTAACAACGTTCGGTACGCGCCTTTAATGATACGCTACACCAGATAAGCACGGATCCTCCACCAAATTACACTGTTCCCACAATAGGTATTACACGGTGCACCCGGACGTCTGTACACTTTTACTAGTCGATTATTGTTTACCAGAGAAAATCTGGATTCATCGCTAAATAAAACACGACATACGTAGAACTTGAAGTAAAGTTTATGTACCTATTAACAAAATGTAAGATGAATAAAGTACATTTACTAATTATAGAATTTTGGAAGATGAACCCACTCGAATTCATGGCAGAACTTCCATCAGCCGTCGAGGATGTATTCTTTATAACTGATTGTAAATAATTTGTTCCCCGTGTACTAGGTTCAAAAAATTATTCTGACGAGGCGGATGTATTCTTTGTAACTGATAGATACTAATTTCCTCCGCTTATATTACGTTCAGAAAATTATTCTGATGTCAAAATTTTTGCGATTTCTTGCTTATTATTTAGGGACTCTCCTATGTAGCCTTCAGCTACACGGCTGGACTTCCAATCTCCATGCGGTTTTAAACACGTGATTTCAGCTCCACTTCCACCAACAATGTAGCTGAAATGCGTCTAGACGGTGGCCGGTGTCTTGCTCCGGATGTGGTAACTTCAGGATCGAAGCTATCTTCTTGGGTATCGTGCCAATTGTAGGTATACCCATCACTGCTCGATGGCACTTTCCACCTATATCCTTAAAAAAAGCGTTACTCTGGTATGTTCTTTGGACGCAGTGATATATATGTATTTCCGGTACATGTTGAGGTTATTTTCATCAACAATTGTGAACAATCGGAGCTTCTTCGTTTTATTATCGATTGAAATTCTGATATGCAGTAAAGTCCCGAAATCTTCAAAGTCATCAATTTTTAGTTTTACCGTTTCATCACACACAAGCTCCGTATACGCCGATAAGTAAAACAATCCACATAAAATATCAATGTAGCTTCTTCATTCACTTGAGTTTAACATCTAATACCAACCTTCATGTGCGAAGCGTGAGCTAAAAAGTTTCGACTTGTTCCTTTGCAAAGTTTTAGATATTTACTAATAGCTATTCCTTGTCTTGCAGCACTTGTCGCACTACTGAATAATGTGACCACATCGCAGAACTCTTCATTATCTTAGCTAATTCAGAAAAATATGCCAATAAATGCACTTTCCGAATATCTGAGAACTTTATTCTTCTCACACCAGTAAGAAATCGTTTATAAGCAACTTCATAGGCTGGTCCCGATTTTGTTAGCCTAAGATTCTCTGTAGCTGCTCAGGTGGAGCGCATTGCAAAACCAACTCAAGCTAAATAATTCTATCGCCAATATTTCTCTTTTAATGAGAAATAACAAATAAATTAAGCGATAGGATTACGTGCAAACTGTTTTTTGAAATTTTGTTGTTGACAATAACATCGTAGTAACAGTCTTTAGATATAACTTAATTCATTCATTTTTAAAAACTGAAAATTCTAATTTTTTTAATTATAATACTTCTATAATTTAATTACAGACGTTTGAATAAAAAATAGTATGTTTTACTCGGAGAAGAGTGAGTTTTTGTGGCTCGTCTATATTTGCCGGGTGATCATTGATTTGCCGGCCTCCCTTCGGTCGGCCGTCAAACTTACAGAGTCGGCATAAAAAGTTTCACTTTTGGTCCTTATAAAATAATATACTATTTTAGTCTTTAACAACAAAAAATTACAATCTTTTAGTACGTTAATGAAAAAAAGAATAGCTTAGGTGTTGATAATGAGTTAAAAAGACTCATTTCAAAAAGATTTAAAATCATGATCACCAAATTTTTTTGAAATTATAAATTACGCATTAATTTTGTGACGAATATTATATACTCTAAATATTTTTTACTCCTATAATAAATATTTAGGTAATATTCAGGACCGAGTTCAGGACTAAATTTTTAATATGTATCTTTACGTGAACATATTTATTAGTTTATTATAGACCCTATTAGCTATAAGAATAAAATTCTTGTTTTCTCCTCTCTAATGTTGATATTTACTTTATAATAATTGTTATTTACAAAAAAGTTTTTCAATATACGGATGAAAATCTTCAAATCATAGTGTCTTCTAAATATGCAATTTGTAGATAGACCTTTTCCCGTTCTCATACCAATTTGATCCATGGAAAAAAATGTTGCATTCCAGAATTATAAAACTTCCGAAATTGTGCAGAAGGTAAAAAATAACATACTAGAAAAAAAAAGAAGAAAAAGATTTATAACGACGAAAGAGATCTTCGACCTACGAGCTCTCCGATAATATATGGTTTAAATAATTTTATTTTTATCATAATACTTATATTTTTGCAGTTTCGGTACAACATAGCTATTGAAAACAAGCATTTAATTTTCATCTGTCAAACAGTTGTTTGACTGAAAATTTTTATTCAACGCCTGAAACACAAACTTTTTGAAGTATACCTACATTTAAAAATAAGTGAAAAATGTGCTTTGCTTGAGATACTTTCTTGAAGACAGACCAAAACTTCAAAAATTCTTGTACGGAAAAACTCACTAGAAATGTATGCATAACATGCTTACTTACCTGTACTTTAACAATCCACACATATACATATAAATTTTAGCTCATAGGGATCATCATCTATAAAGTCGCGATCTTTTCTATAGAACCACTCCCTAGTGTAAATTTTCAAAATTTGTTTGGTGTAAGTGACCTTGACGGGTTTCTGGGGGAAAACATAGGTGTCAAAAATTTGACAGGTTAGATGGCCCCATTGTCAGTGTAGATATTTTATTTTAATAAACAGATGAACAGAACATACAGTCTGCACAGGATACAGTGCGGCATAACTGAGGGCAATTGAAACATTCGTGTTGTGCTAGTTTCGATTGCCATATCAACTATCGCTACCAACCGCGTTCGGCGGAAAGTACTAGACGACAGGGCTATCAACTTGACTTTTTATCGAGTGGTTCCGTAGAAATGACCGCTACTGTAGAAAAAAATCTCAAAGTTAAATTTTATAATTTTTCGAATCTGTATTTGTTCGACAGTACTTTAGGAGCAAGGGAAGTTCTGTCGAGACAATCTTGGATCATTTTTTGTTTGGAATTTGGTTTCATCGATATGGTTCTTAACTATGTTTGATGGTAGTGCGTTGACCGTCACAGCGAGTCTTAATCAATTTCATACTTTTTAAGGACTTATTGTTTAGTAGGGAATTTTTAAGTATTAACACTTGTTACGAAAGTATTGCGATTTCTGATTTTTTGTGTAGTAAACTTCCTGTTAAATTTTTACGACATTTGGTAGTAAATGCTAACTGTAATCGATCACATGAATGGTTTTCAGTTATGACAAAGTGGGGCTTAAGATATAAGTAAGTTTAATACTTAATTTCACGACACTTTTGAACAATCATGTTAAACAATGTTTGATAGCTATAGAAACAACTGACTCAGTGATCACTTTACTTTTACAATTTATCTTAGATATACATAACAGAATTCTTAGAACTTTTGATAAGGGCTACGAATGATTTCGATTTTTTTACAGTTTCAAATTGTCTTTAATACCAGAATTATTTATAGCCACGTTATCACGAGAGAGCAATGAAAAACATTATTAAAGACAGCCATGGATTATTGAAGAGTTTGTCTTTGATGGAATTTTTGTCTTGTCCGATTATTTATTATCGTTAATTTGAAAGTTTTGAGTCCAAAATGCAACGATCAAAAATCCATACTCGTCTTTGATCGTGTTTTTTACTGCTCTCTCGGTATAAACTACAATTTGTCCATAATAATTCTGGTATCACGGTGACTCTGAAATGTCTTTTGTTAATTATTTTGGCGCCTTATTACCACAGTGAAGCACACTTTTTTCACATTTCAAAACCGCCCTTGATACCAAAATCATTTATGGACAAGCTTTATGTTATATGTATCAAAAAGGTATAAATATCTGTTCCCATCAAAAAGTTTAACAACATACAAACAAACTGACAAGTAAAATTTTGAAATAAATAATGGATTTCACAAATATCAGGAGTGAAAGAAAGCTACGAAAGTTCGTCTTTGCTGGAATTTTTTTCTTTATAACATGGGAATATTCTCAACAAGGCTGTCAAACCAGTTCTTTTGAAACCGAACTAGAACTATACTTATACCAACAGTTTTTTATTTTCAGTTCCTTACATAAATTTTTCCAATATCGAGCCGTATGGTTTCAACGTCACTTTAGAATGGGAGGCTTCTGATTCCACTTGCTCCGACATCGAATACGCTATCTTTTTAAACGAGACACAAGTTGATCTTACAGCAGACCTTACGGTAACCATCAGCGATCTACGTGCCTGCAGTGAATATACAGTTTCTATTGCGGCAATTGTTAATAATGAGACAGTAGCAAAAAGTGAACCAGAAAGTTTTACCACGGTAATCCCAGACTGTAAGTAGCAAAATCCTTTAATACATGAATCTACTAATTATGAGTTTCAGCATTCACATCTTACGGAGTACAAAATTTAAGTGTAGTAGAAACTCCGGAAGACACTCTCAAATTAACATGGGAACCACCAGTTGACGAAGTAGTTCAGTGTGTCACTAACTACTATTTGACATGGTGGGACGCAAACACTGAAACGCCTGAAGACAGCGTTAACATTACCGAAACTTCGTACACTCTCCCCTTAATCGGATGCATGCATTACGTTTTTATGATATATCCTCAATCCGGAGCAAATCATAACGGCCACGAAGACGCCGCAAATTACACGGTGGATCCCATTCGTAAGAAAACCGATGCAAAAGTAGGCAATAAACAACTCTAATAAATTTTAGCATTTAATAATACGATTGTCCAATTTTCTCACGGGAAAACTTACTCAAATATAACGTGGCAGATAGATGACAAAACAAAAAATAGGTGTGACATCGAAGAAATATTCGTTACGTGTAACGCACCTACGGATCAAAACATCGACGCTCCCTGGATCATTCGCAATGCTCAAGCTCATGAAACAATTTTTGAACAAAACCCAAACTACAGATACGGTATAAGTATCCAAAATTTATCTTCTTTTACGAACTATACGTGTACCGGTGTTACCACAAATGCGGCTGGAAATTCTACGGAAACCGAGTTCGAGATCACTACAGATGAAGACGGTAGAAGATACACAAAATTGACTCTATCCGAATCTAAATTTCATTTACAGTGCCTTCGGAACCATTAGCACTCGAGATAGATGAGATTGGTCCCACTACCTTTAGAGTAAAGTGGCAACAACCCGCAGTGATTCCCGGCATTATGACATCGTATGGAATACGGATTAACGCTAGCGGGTCCCAGCAGCAGGTCACGAAAGAATGCTCAAACAATGTCACAAATCACCATTTTGACATAAGTGCAGACAACACAAACTTTACGTTCGATGAAGCCATTCCGTACTATAAGTATCAAGTTTCGATCTATGGGACCGATGGGGCTGGTAATGGAACTGAGGCAACAACTGACGCGCTTACAGCATCAGCAGGTAATCTAAAATGTCACTAATCTACAATGTATTTTAAATATCAGAATTTCAGAACCAGACAGCGTTGCAAACGCTCGAACAGAACCTCCTAAATATTCACAAACTGAAGAATATAAAGGTACCGTGAAAGTTGTGTTTGACCCTCCCTGCAATACGAATGGTCCGTTCAAACACTACGCCATTAGATACAATGGCACAAGAACCAATTTGCCTATTGTTGACGAAACAATCACAACGACTGCAACAGAAGAAGAAGTGTATCTTTTGCCGGAACGTAATTATTCGTTTACTGTTACCGTAGTAACGGAAAACTTTACGTCGTTGCCGGTAGATATTCCTTCCATTCAATCTCAAGCTGGAGGTGAGTAATTTTTGTAATTAAAGGGGAAACAGTAATCATGTGTTGCAGTTCCAATTTTAACGGCAAATATGACACCACCGGAAGTTAACGACACCACAAAAGCTTATTTTACATTGCCTAAGAGTGTGTTTAACAATGAAAATGGCGAAGTTATCGCTTACAGTTTGATTTTGATGAATACATCCACACAAAAGTGTACATACGGATTTTGGCAAGGGACTAATGAAAGCTGGCCGTCGTTGCCTGAAAATGGACATCAATTAACTCCTAATTTTTGGAATCCTTTTGAAGGTATATACTTCAAGTACTGATTTTTTTGAGGCTGAATATTCAACAAACAACATGAAAATTTTAGGTGGTGTCCAAAGTGTTGATTTTATAATTGGTAAAGACAGTGACTGTTCTGGACCAAACTATTGCAACCAAGCTTTAAATGAGGGCACTAAATATTGGTTAATAGTGCGCGCTCTCACCAGCGCAGGCTTTAAAGACAGTTCGTTGTTACATTTTGAAACAGGTAAACAAACTATGTTATCGATAATATAATATTATCTTATCTACTATTACGGAAAATAGACATATCTGCAGATATATTATGTTAAATATTTTTAGAAATGCCACTAGACGACTTACAGTTACCTCTTATTCTGGGATTAATATTTGGTCTACTACTCTTGTTAATATTAATAGGGTTCTTATTTTTCCTCTGGAGAAGAAGACGAAGAAAGTAAGTTGTTGGTTTTGTAAGTATCGTACTATATAACTGAGGGATTTTAGCGCTACACCTGAGGAAGAAAAACGACCTTCTACAAATCCATTCCCAGCACCTGTTCCTGTACAAAAATTCATTAGCTACTATGCAAGCATCAAAGAAGACTACAATATAATACGACAACAATTTATCGATCTAGGTTTACAAAGTAAAGAATACGCCGGTGAGACCACTTTTGCAATCTTACCGGAAAACAAGCGTAAAAATCGATATACAAACATTCTACCATGTGAGTCAATGACACATTTAAGGCAAAAAAATACTGTAGACGTATATATTTTTAGTTGACGCAACACGTGTTTCTCTAAAAATTGATGAAGACGATGAAATTAGTTCAGACTATATTAATGCCTCATATATTAAGGTAAAACAATGATTAAAGTATTACTATTTTGGTAAAAATTGCAATTTCAGGGCTACACAGGTAAAGTTGAATACATAGCCACTCAAGGTCCCCTGGAACTGACTGCCAGAGATTTTTGGAAAATGATATTGCAAGAAAACGTTACTGTTATAGCAATGGTTTCGCAATTCGTTGAACAGACTAAAGTTAGTGTGCAACTGATAAATAAAAATTAAGGCTAATTTAAAATAATCTTGCAGGAAAAATGTTTTCATTATTTTCCAAACAATCACGAAAATGTCTATTTTGGTGAATCTTTAGAAGTTAAATGTACTACAGAACTGCATTTTGGAACATACTGTGTTCGGACACTGCAAGTTCGAAAAAATACAGAACAGCGGGACGTTGTTCACATGCAGTTTTTAGAATGGCCCGACTTCGGAGTTCCACAAGGTACTGACAACATGTTACAATTTTGTACTCAATTGAGGGAAAAAGTCAACAAGGAAGGGGGTCTTATAGCTGTACACTGCAGGTATGTTTGATTCTTTTATTTAAAAATATTAATATAAAAAATACCTGGCATAATCTAGTGTGTTACACGGAATAAATTATAAGCAGGAACTTGTAAAAATGAGTAGCAACAAAAAATGTAAATCTATTGTTTTTTCTTCATTTGCTCTTAACGCTAACCGATTGATAAAAAGCCGACGTTTGGCACAAAGAAAATTCAGTCTCAAAAATCCAATGCTTTCGTATACTTACACTAACGCAACTTAAAATAATACTTGTTTTCACAGCGCTGGAGTTGGTAGAACTGGGACGTTGATAGCAGCGGATATACTTCTTCAGACCATCGACGATCACAGAGACATTAATATCTATAAGACTGTTTTGGACCTAAGAAAACAAAGAACAAATATGGTACAAACAGAAGTAAGTACAACTTGTACATAACAAAATAAACGAAAAAACTACTTGAATTATTCCAGAAACAATATATGTTTATACACACATGTATAAAAGACTACATAGAAACTCCTCCCAGTCAAACAAATGGTAAGACTAAGCTCCTATTAAAATTCGTGTTAAAAAATATATGTTCCAGATACAGGAGGAGAACGCATTTATGAAAATATGGATGTAATAAGATCTTCATCTCTGAAGAAAAATCTAATTGAAAGCGAAATAGAAAGCGCTTTATAACATATTAACTTAAATTTGTACTTAATTTTTTAAATTTATGTATACTTATTACTCTCATGTGTTCCAGCTACATACGCTATCTATATCGACGCTTACATGAAAAATTACGAAGCTGTGATCTGTAAATAGAAAAAATAAATTTTTGCTACAAATACCTGCAGTTTGAAGTCGTCACTCTTGCTTCATCATAGCATGTGGAGGGTGATGCATCCACGGTGGCACGTCAGGTCTCACATTTAAATTCACATTTGATGGGGGCATCGGATGTGAGGGGGTTATATTCAAACTCACATTTGATGGTGGCATCGGGTGTGATGGAGGCATCCTATGATTAAGCATCATAGACATATTATGATGTGGCATGTGTACACTTTGCATCATATGATTATTGTCATGTTGAGTCATGTGCATTGGTAATAATCTGTGGTTTTGTTGAGTACTGATTAGATGATGATTGGAAAGCATTGTTATATTACTTTGAGGTATTTGTGGTCCTGGTTTATTTATGCTATCCATGCTATTTACCTGCTCTGTAGCCGGATGGATGTTTTGTGCTGCCACTTTCTGAGGCTTCTTGGCAGATTTACCAGATTTTTCTTGTTTTACTTCCTTCTTTACTGTCGGTTTTTCTACAAGAATTGATTTGTTTCCTTGTTTTTCATAACAAAAACCCATATCAAAGAGGAGTCTACGCAGTGTCATAAGAGAAAAATTTGGAAGTTGAGCATCCTGATTGACGTGCTTTAAAATAGTATTTAGTGATGTAGTTATGTTTTTGTATTTCAAGTCATAAATTATACTTCTTATACCTTGGCGCACGGTATTATCGTATTTAATATCTCTACTGTTTATATTGACATTTCTTCTAATTTTTGTTGTTGATGGCACTTTGAACCCTTGACCACTCGCTTCTTCCTTGCGAAATTGAAATATACTCTTTTCACTACATCCTGTAGCTTTCGACGTACGTCTTACGATTTCTGTTACACAGAAATCTGGGAACTCCATACGAAAGTATTTAAATACGTTTAAAATTATTACTTTTTCTTTACAGGAATACGACATCCCTTGTTTCATTTTTTTAATCTCCATTTGAGCCATGATGGTTGGTGTAATAATAACAATTATAACCTAACTTGTAATCACCACGCAAGTTTAATTTAAAAATTCAACCTTTTTTAAATATAAAATGCGGGTAGATTTATAAACGAATTTGTTTATGTTTACACAAATTTGAATTGTAAACAAAAAAATTTGTCTACTGACATGATGGTATATATTTGACAAATGACACCAATGACACAGAGAAAAATGACAACTGACAGTTCTGATCAGGAGGAATTCTATGGTTCTGATTCTTTGACAGTAGAAATCTATGGTAGAAAAGTAAATTTTGATTAAAGCCAGTGGGCTAAAAATCTAGATGAATTTCAAATATTTTATAATGTTTTAAAAACTGATCTTGATCAATAGTATGTACTAATTATTCTTAGATAAGAGGAAGTTAATCTTGAAGTTTTATTAAAAAAATTTTAAGACAACAAACTGTCGTTTCAAAAATTGTTAGATGTCACTACTAGTTGATTATCAACCATGGCCAACTCTTGATACTTCAGTAAAACTTTCATTAAACGTCTGTCGAGTGTCGACTATAATGAACCAACTGCGTAGAGAAAGAAAATAGAGAAGGTCGTGAGGAAAGGAAAGATTAAAAAAACACCAAGTTTCACAGAAAATTTATTTCTCTATGTATGATTTTCGGATTTAGGCATTTCAGCCGTGTGCGTTTCTTGAACCAAAGTGTAGTTCGTAACGTAACTCTTAAGTTGTGGTCGACGAAACATAAAACATTTTCTTTCTTCACCATTAGTTTTAACAGTAGACGCATAAGGACAAGGACAACAATTCTTAAAACGTTCAGCAGCAACTTCATTATTGAGGTCATCTTCAACTTGTACATCAGACAATCGTCTTCTTTCCAAATGAATTTTACGAACGTCAACACAAAGGCAAGGCACTTGTGATTTCGCAACTTCGTTATTTTTTTCAACTGATGCTAAATGATCATTTTTAGTCTGACTAAATTCGTTAACATCGTGTCTCAACAGAGGTCTTTCTAGAATTCTCGGCGCCGTATTGGATTTTGATCTGATGCTATGTTTACTCTGTCGTGGAGATTCCAATTTTTCTCCTCTCAAGATTGAAGAATTATCACGATGTATCTTTTCAGTTAATGAAGAATTTTTTACGACATTTAAAACCTTGAGGTTTGTTGGTGTTTCCCCTGAAGTTTGTTCAAGGACAGGAAGAGGCAAGTGGGAACTTTGAATACACTGGCACTTAATTCTAACGGGAGGAAAAAGTGGTTATTGAAATAACTATAATAAAAAATGTGACTTCCAATGAAATTAAAACTGTGTGTTAAAGGGAAGGATATTTTGTACTGTCACTGTCTCTAGTCCTACGAAATCTTTCATTTGCTACTTCTCGTCTTAATTGTTTATTTTGTTGACTATATTCTAAAGCTTTTTCTTGGTACATGTCTAATTGTTCCGATGTTACGAGACTGAAAAAATATCACACAAAAATGGTACATGAATACGATGTCAAAAAAGTACGAAGAAATAATCAGATTTTTTTTTTGAACTTAGAAAGGACGGAACTTAAAAAAATGTTCTGAGAATCAAAACATGCTATGCTACATCTTCATTAAATCACTTACAACTTATCCTTAAGATCCTGAATTTCTTGTTTTAATTTCTGCACTTCTTCTCGCAAGTCTTGATTGAGTATCCTTAATTCTGTTGAGCCATGTTTAGCATCATGTAGATCTTTTTCCACACTCTCAACTGTGCGCCTATCTCTTGTCGCTGTATGTTGTAACAATTCACGTTCACTTCTTAGCTGACTAACGTTCCTCTCCACCTAAAAAAAATCTTTCAAAACAATTCTAAACTAAGTTCAATATCACCTGAATTCTTTCATCATCTCTTTCCCTTAACTGTCTCCTAAATTTCGAATTTTCATTGTCCAACTTCAAAGACAGCTCTCTCATATTCTGCAAGTCCGAATTTGCCTTATCACATTGGGTTATACACTGCCTTAACTGAATCTCCAGACTTGCTATTTGACTCGTCAAATCGCCGATTTGTTTCTCATAACTATGTATAATCGAATCCTTATTTTCTAATTTTCGCTCCAAATCCGCAGCATGATCCAAAGCAACCGACAACTGTACCCTACTTTGAGTCGCTTCAGTTTCCAAAGTGTGATTGTTAGTTTCTAAAATATTTGCTTCATGACTGAGCGACCTAAACTGGTCCAGTAACTCGTTTCGTTCGATTTCCTGAAAAAATATTTAAATATTGATTTAATCAGTTTGAATTAATTACTTTATTCGAGATTTGATCTTCGGTTCTCTTCACTTCTGCAACGTAATGTTGAAGCTGCGTTTTCAGATCATCGACTTGTCGTTTATATAGTTCTAATTCCTTTCTCGAATCTCGGCAGTCACACGTGACTGAAGCTAACTCATCTTGAAGTCTTCGGTTTTCTTGAATAGCGCTGTCTTTGATCTTTTTCACAGTGTCTAGTTCTTGTCTTATCGTTGTTAGTTCCGTTTGGGAAGTACGAATTTCGTGCTCTTGACCGGCTGTTTCGTCAATAGCCATGCTGAAAAAGAGATCGGCGTTTGGTTTTACATATACCGTGTGTTATAACTATCCCGAAAAAACATTTTTTTCTTGTCTGAGTATGCAAAAGTCTATACATGAGAAATCTTGACACATTGTTTGCGTTACCGTAATAATGAATACAACTACATATATGTTAAAAATGGATGCAGTGGGCAAACGTACGAATACTCAGAATAAACTCTGCATTTTACTGTAAGTGTTACAAATTAATCAGTAACTAGAGTGTAACGTAAATTAATAAATGCCTTAAGCTGCTCTAAATGCAATGTAAAAATTAATATATACGTTACTGGTAGATCGTTTACATTGAAAATAAACATTAGAATTTCGCAACAATAAAAGCATAGTGGCAAGTAGATTTTTCAAATAAATTGTTAAGGTGACATTCACTTTGTAACTACATATGTTGAAGCAATTCATAGATATTAAATTTGACTTATGTTTTGAAATTCGACAACATATATCACTAAATATACCAAAAATAAACAAATATTTAAGTAATCACTTGACACATTTATCAAGAGTGTTGTAAAATCACTTGTTTATAACGAAATATTTCTGTTATCGATAATACGAAATAAGAAAGGTACTATCCGTACTAGATCTATTACAGTCACATGTATTTGAAGACAAAAGTTATTACATGGTGGAAAAATTAAAGATAAATTCTGAGATTATTATTTAGATTACTGATTTTATAAAACGAAGCGGTGATGAGATACATAAATAGTATATTAACGAATCATTTATTAGATCCCTGTATATTGTACAGAGTGAGTCACTAAGCGTGTGTTCCTCAATACTCCATTATTTATTATTACACATATAAAAAAAGTGAAAGAGCAAAGTTGTACAGTTCCTTGAGAACCATACATTAAAATTATTTTCAGCTGTATGGAGTGTTCAATTTTTGAAGCGTAACACACAATCTCCTTAACATTTTTTAGCAAAGGAAGGATTCACAAAAAATCGCAATAGGTTTATTTTAAAAATATGTCTCACAATATTTTGTAGAGAGATAAATAAAGATGCGCGCTTTGTTGTGCCATAAATAATGGAGTATTAATACACAGAGTGTTTATAAAAAAATCGAAAACGTTACGATTTTAAAATATTAATATGTATTTCAGTTTTTCGAATAGAACACCTGTATCTTATTCTGTTTTTGTTCCTTTTCTTTTTTGTTAAGTGTATTCTATGTCATATTGAAAGTTTACAGTTACTACAATTTTTTTCTTTTTAAAAAGATACACCGACATATTGAAAGTACGAGACAAGAAATAGAATAAGATGGAGCAATAAAACACAGGATGTTCTATTTGAAAAAAACTGGAATATTAATATTTGAAAACTATAACATTTCATACTTTTATTACATATTTTTAGAAATACTCTGTATATTAAAATTTGATTTAATTACTGAAAACAAATTAAAACTGGGAAAGGTGAGGCTGATGAAAAGTGTACGTACTCTTACGTGAATCGCCTTGTATACCAAAAATGAGATGTAGCGTAATATTTTCGAAAATTAGAAAATCAGATTCGATTATTATACATAGTTATGAGAAACAAATCGGCGATTTGACTAGTCAAAAAGAACAGCTTACGCACAAAAAAATCTATAGCTGTTTTGCACAAGACGCATTAACTCTTCGGTAGCGATATTAATGTTATATCATATATTAGATCCAACTAATAAAAACATTACCATGTTCATACTATTTCAAGGAAATTAGGGTGGACAATCTACAACGTAATCGTAGAAATTATCGGTTCATAAATTCATGTTTTTGGGGCACCTTGCGTAATCAATTTCAAAAAATAAAACTATTTCTGAATGTTCCGTTTAAGAGTGTATTTACTAACTTTAATTTTTTTCAAATGTCCTCGGTTTTTTAGTTAGTTTATGAGTTACTCAATATGACCAAAATTTCGAAGGAGTTGGTAACTATATTATACCTAACTCAAACTGTAATTTTTTTTATGTACGTAAAGTTAAAAATTTGAATGACTCATTAAATCACTGGTAAAGGGTATGTCGGCCAATACTGTATTTATTATAAAACTTAAACAATTGTACAAACAATTAAAAGGATTTTTGTCTGAACGTCAAAATAGTTTTAAAATTGTAAAAGTTTACCTTTTCGTATCACTATTACTTATTTTTTAGCTGTATGTTTTTAATACACTCTTTGACCGATACTGTAATGTCAAATTAGCCGTAACGATAGAAGTATTTTCCCCAGTCACAAAAAACAACAAACTTCCACATAAATTCTGTGGTTATTAAAGTCGTAGACAAAACTTAGTGAGGAAGAAACTTTATTTGTGTCAAAATTTTCAGAAATTAATTATCTATTATATACATATAAATGTAGTGACCAAAGCTCCAAAATTCAAAATTACTTAAATTGTCTAATAACAACAGATTAACCCTTCAAAAATTTTATTAAGTCTGACTTTTGTGTGAAAAGAACAATGTGGCCCAAAGACTGCCTAATAACAATAGACTTTAATTTTACCGCTTTGTCGGAAGTCGAACACTTAATTAAACTGTTAAAATCACATTGCATTAACCAAGTGACACTCAAGTGGTGAATGATGTTAACATACGAATGCAAATGGTTGTGCCTTTTTGAGAAAGAAACAGGAACACTTTAATAATATCAGTTTCAGGCTTTTATTCTATTTTATTTTAGGAAATAAAACAAAAAAGCCATTAAGAATTAAAAACTTGTTCATCGACCCTAACTGTATAAAAGCGATACCATTTATAAATTTTATGCATTAACTTTGAGATCAATAAATTACGCTTAATGTTATTTTTAACATTAGTGAGATAATTAGTAAAAGGTTACAATACGAGTTGTGGAATTTCAAAAAATACGAATACAAACAGGTAGAGAATAGAAATTAAAACGCACACACTAGGTGCAGGTCGAAGGTGATCGCGAAAATTTAGGACTTTCACTGATTGGAAGTTTCCTTTGTGTAAACAAAAACAAAAACATAAAATTCGTACGCCACTAATTGCGTAATTGCGTTCTAGTCGTTAATATCAATTAACTTGTTTGTTTTATTCAACAACCAATTTCCACCTTGAATTAATTAAGAGGACAACTATGATCAAAAAAAGTTTGTAAAAGTAAAAGACAAACAATACTTTAATTGCTTAAATGAATAAATTTATAAACAATAAAATTGGGTATCTATTCGCTTCAGTTTATAGAGCGAGAAATTCTATGCTAACTTACTTCCACAAAACAAGTGTGTGATTCAATTTACAAGAAGTGTCAATACTGATTACCATCAAAAACAAACCGACTATACTTTCGGATGATGGTCAATTTGTTAAAAGAAAACGTGGTCGAATTACCAAAAAGCATCAGTTCAAAGACACTTTACGCAATGAAAAGCTTCGGAAATACTTAATTCACGGCATTTTAAGTAGATGCGATCCTTTACTGATAATTACGGTAAAAATGAATATAAAAAAACTGACACTTGAAGCCGGTTTTAAGAACATGTTACGAAACGAAATTCCCAAACCTGAATGCACTTCGTTAATTTACTGTACAAACATGTGCAGACTATAAACCAATTTATGTCTCGTTCTTCAACAGGTACCAGTCCACAGGTACTTAGTGTAAAGTCATCTTACAACATGTGCTTAAAATATGAAAATTGCCACTCGACAAAAATAAAAAAGAAACTGTGAGGTTAACCAGGTGTTGTTTTGTTACAACGTACTACTCTCATGTAACAATTAATTAAATAATTTTAGTACTCGTAATAATGATCTAACTACATAAAATTTCTTCTGGGCTATTGTATAAATCTTAAACAATAAGCGAAAGTTTTGACAATGAGGTAAAGCACCTTATTAACCACCTGACATCGCACGTCGACATATGTGTAAACTGATCACACTTATAAAATTTGGTAAATTTATGAGGATTATTTTGGAATGAAAGCCGTAATAGGAGCTTTCTGAGGATAAATCACAAAATCGAAAATCTGTATAAAACCGAAAAATAACGCGCAAAATACTTTCCATAATATATCACCTTGTCAATTGAACTTGATTTAAGGAAATTTGCATTTAAATTCACTTATTATGATGCATAAGTTAGAGGAATGCATATTTTAAAATGAATTTATTTTGTTGTAAAATATAAAACGAAATGCGTGTATCGGATGCAAAACCAATTGACTAATCTTTCAAAGAAATTGTAATTTGGTTGATACATGCAAGTTATTCTAAAGAATGTTTGCATATATTTTACCTTCACTTGCGTTTAAAAATAGCGGAAGCCACAAAATTAGAAAATAATGTTACAAATGATCGATTTGCCTTTGGCGTAATGTTAAATGATATAAGTTTCATTTCGACAATTCAACATAATACTATACTTTCTGTGGACTAGGCTGATCGTACAGTGAATATAAAAAATATTTTTATATTAACTGATGGTGGCCGTTCATGGATTGATTATTCTGAACTCACAAATTTGTGTAAACAATTGTAAAAAAACAAAAACAAAAAATGCAAAAACTATATTGAAAAATGTTTTTAAGATTAATTCGTCACAAATTAAAAACTCGTCTAAATAATTAAAATTGTTACATGAAGTCCTTACTGACTTGTGAAGTATGAATATATGATACAATGAATAAAATGTGCCCGTTTAAGAGACGAACAGCGAAAAGTGTTATTGCTAACGTTTTTATTACTTTTTGCTGTAGGAACTATAGATTAAAATTCTAAAATGTATTAACAGAAGTTTGAAAAATATAACCAAAAACTGTTAAGACATATTAAGAGACTAGAGAGTTTGCTAGAAAATGAATAGTTATTTATTATTAATATCACTACCAATCATAAATAATGGCATAAAATTGGTTGAAATTAGTTCAAAGGTACCCGCAAAAATGTATACTGCCTTGAAATTGAATCTTAATGATGTTTATCTTTTG